GAAATTGAAGTGCAGAGATTAAGTGACTTGTCCTTGTCTTACAACTAGTAAATGGCATAGCCAGAATGAATGAACCAATCAATTAATTAACAGTGCAGCCCCTTGTGATGCTCTGTCTTAGCAGGCAGAAACTCACAGCATTTCCTACTCTAAAATGTAAAAATATACTCTACAATCAGCAGTGTACCTCTGGTACCGAGTACTCAGTATTCATAGGGAATATCATGATCGTTTTGGTACTCAAATTGATCAATGGAATCTCCTTGAAGCTGGCTTCTGTGTCCTTTTGACATGATCCCATCATTCCCAGAACACTCTTCATTCTCTGGCTCAACAGGATGTCCTAAAAGGTTTGACTGAGTCCTGGAATCAGTCATCTCTGGAAAACCCTGATGATTCTTTTTAGCATAAAATGGCTTTTTAGCAACCTGGTGTGTTCATTGTATTTTTTTTTCTTCTTCAAGGCCATCACACACACACTCATCACACACAGTTCTGTACTTATTGATTTTATTAATTTAATTTACTATATTTATTGAAATCCATGTGTTCACACAGGTACAACCAATTCCAATCTAACACCAGAGCGTTCGTGCTAGTTTTGTCCTTTTCCTTTAAACAGTAAAAACCCTGACTTCCATGTTTCTTCATGTTTTTTACTTTTCCCTCAACCCCCCTGTTTGTAATCCATCTCTCTTTATTGCTGTCATGTCTCCCCTGTGTAGACAACTCTCTTTATTCTGCACAGGCTCTGAAACCTCATGCCAGGCTGCCCTACACATGGGTGCCCTTGTCACCATGCGTGGGCTCCGACACTCCACTCTGGGGCACCCCTCCATGTGAATGTCCCCCTTGCCCACGTTGGCTCTAACACCCACACCACTCTGTCCCTAAACATGACAGCTTCCTCTTTCCACTGGGTCTCTGCCTTCCGCACTGGGTCCGTCCCTGCAGGATGCTCTACGTGCACGATGCCCACCTTGCTCTATATATTTTATTGATTTTTTTACAGAGTGGAAGGAAGAGGGATAGAGAATGAGAAACATCAAAGACAGAGAAACCTCAATCAGCTGCCTCCTGCACACCCCCTATTGGGGATGTGCCCACAACCAAGGTACATGCCCTTGACCGGAATCGAACCTGGGACCCTTCAGTCCGCAGGCCGATGCTCTATCCACTGAGCCAAACCGGTTAGGGCTATTTTTTAAAATGAAAACCATCCTAACCATGAAGAAAATGTTTATGTCCCATGAAGATCTTATATCAACCAATAAATAAAAATACATTCATTATATATGACTTTATGGAACCTCCCCTAATATTTGCATGGGCTGGGGGCAAGAGTACAAATGGAGACTCACATACCAGTAGAGAAAATACTTGAAAGTTATAAATAGCAATAATAAACTTTCAAATAAAATATGCTCTATCTTCTGACCTTGACAAATCACCTTTCATAACAACCAAAAATTTAAATGTATAAAATTATGTTTGTAATATGACCAAAAGTCAGCTAAGTATCAAGGACAATTGAATTTAATTACTACTCACATGTCTGGGTGTTCTCTTGATGAGCCAGTGATAACTGAGCAACAAAACAAAAGCATACATATTTAATTAATCACATTTACTCCGTGAAATTTACTTTTCTAGCTTTTAGTCTGATGCTCGGCAGCACCCAGGGAGGCCAGGTCTTTGTTGCTGCACAAGAAAGGATTTGAGAACAATCAGAAAGATTTAGTAAAGCACAGTAAATCTAGTAAAGCAAAAGTATGCACTCAAGAAGTGAGAATGGGCAACCTAGGAGAATGAGAACCCCCTAAGGGGTATAGATAAAAGGTTTTTATTAAATACTAGAGCCCAGTGCACAAAATTTGTGCACAGGTAAGGTCCCTAGGTCCTGGCCAGCGATCAGGGCCAATCAGGGCCTTTTGGCTGCAGGCCAAGGCCTCCCTTCCCTGGCTGCCGGTCAGGGGGGCGTTTCTTCATTCTTCACCGCCCCCTGGTGGTCAGCACATGTCATAGCGAGCATTCGAACTACCAGTCTCTTATATATCTAGATAGGCAAGTAGGGAAGAGGATAAGGTGGTCCCCAGCTTTTGATACGCATCCTTTTCCCTCCTTTCCAGATAGCGAATACTTTTTTTTGGTCCTCCCAGAACTGTCATGGCCTTTGGGGGTTGGGAGCATAGGCCTGAAGATGCCGCTCATGTCTCCTCTTGACCCCTTGAGCTTCTGCCATTCTATACGAAGAGCCTGCCCCAGCCTACTTCCTCATCCCAGGAAGAAGGTGAGAACCACATTGAGCAAAGCCTTCTCTGACAACGCAGCCAAGCCACAGATGTAGACCGTAAGCAAATGCTTATTGCTCTGTGTCCCTGAGAGTTTGCAACTCTTTGCTACACTACAATACACAGGCAATGAAAAGCACTTTTTAAAAAGAATAAATTGCATGATATTATTTATGCATGTACAAACACCATATTCTTTCTTTATTTTTTGTTGATTTTTATTTGCTTGCTTTCTACATCTCTCCCATTCTCCTCACTATACCCTCTCCTCCAAGCCCTAGGTAACCAATGTTACTAATCTAGATTGTATCTTTCTGTACCTTCCTCCATTTGCATATCATGACACTCAAATTTATAAACATATACATAAAAGGTGATCGTCACTGTTTGTTTTACACAAATGGGATAATATTACGGCTATGAGCTGTCATGAAAGACAAGTGAGGAGATGTATATAGAGGAAAGCAAACCTCTCTCTGGGTCAGGAGACGAAAGGCTTCCCTGAGGAAGTGGTATTTAAGCTGAGCCACAAGGATGGTATTATGGACCGCGCTGTTTCCCCCACAAAATGTATATGTTGGAGGTCTTAACCCTCAGGACCTTAGAATGTAACTATATTTGGAGACAGGATCTTTTTTAAAAAGGTAATCAGTTGAAATGAGGGCATTGGAATGGCCCCTTCTCCAATATAACTGGTGTCCTTATACGAGGAGGCAATTTGGACACCAACACACAGAAGGACAATCGTGGGAAGACAAAGGGAGAAAGTGGCCACGTACAAGCCAAGGAAAGAGGCCTTAGAAGAAAGCAACCCTGTCTCCATCTCGATCTCAGATTTGTAACCTCCAGAACTGTGAGAAAATAAATTTGGATTGTTAAGCCAGACGGTCTGTGGTACTTTCCTACGCAGCCCTAGCAAACTACTATGGTTGGATAGAAGTCAATCACTGCAGAGACACGGGGAAAAGAGTACCCACACATTGCTGGTGGAAGTATTTGTTTTAACACCCTTTTTGAAGAGCAATTGAGCAATGGTTATTAAAAATTTTGTTTCCAGCCCGGCTGGTGTGGCTCAGTGGTTGAACATCGACCTATGAACCAGGAGGTCAGAGTTCAATCCCCAGTCAGGGTACATGCCTGGGCTATGGGCTCTATCCCCAGTGGGGGCATGCAGAAAGCAGCCAATCAATGATTCTCTCTCATCTTTGATGTTTCTATCTCCCTCCTTCTCCCTTCCTCTCTAAAATCAATAAAAACATATTATTTTTTTTTAAAGTTTCCAGTTCTTTTGTCACTACAACAATGCAATTAAACACATGTACACACACACACACACACACACACACACATTTATCCTCACTTACTAAATAGGGCTTTTATTTCCATAGACAAATTCCCAAGAGTGAAATTGTGGGAGCCAGATGGGAAAAATATGCTTTTCTTGTGGGTTCCCCAGAGTCCTATTGTTCCTGCGATTACACTATAAAATTGCTGCTATCAAAATATTTCATTTCCTAAAACTCAAGTAGCATATTAAGTATGAAAATCAGTTAGAAAAATCACTGTCAACAAAATAAAAGGTAGCGAAATTCTGTAACCATGCAGATTGTATTCATTTTCTATTGCTGCATAACGGACTACCACAAACTTCGCGCTTAAAGCAACATACGTTTATTATTTCACCATTTCTGTGCGGTCGGCATCCGGGAATGGCTTAGCTGGGTCCCCTCTGCACGGCTGCAGTCAGGTGTGTTACCTGGGCTGTGTTCTCATCTGGAGGTTCACTTGGGGGGAACTCAACTTCTAAGCTCCTTTGGGGGTGTTGGCAGAATTCAGTCCTTTGTGGCTGGAAGACTGAAGGCCCTGGCTCCTCACTGGCTGGAGGCTGGAGTTCACCTGCAGTTCCTTGCTGTGTAGGTTTCCTCGATGTGGCTACTTACTCCATCAAGCCAGCAAGAGAGCCTGGGAAGTGGGTATGCTAGCGAGACTAAGTTACACAATATAATCATGGAGTGGCATCCCATCCTGCAATTACAAGCAAGTCACGTGTCCATCTATACTGAAGGGGAGGGGATAATGCGAAGGTGTGACAGAGATCATGGAAGTCACCTTACAATCTGTCTGCCGTACAAGTTTAAAACCTGCCTGGCCTCTGAGTGAAGACACATACTTCTCCTTTCTTAGGACTCTACTAATCAGACTAGCCAGTGTGCCTGACTTCCCAGAACAAGTCAGGAAAGATGCCTGGTCTTTCTTGGTCCCTTCCTAGACTTTCTATGGCTTGATGTTGCTTTCCCTGGTTTTGTTACAATTAAATTCAAATTAGCAAATACTTGTTGAATATCTTCTAAGTAGCAATCTTTTCAAAGGTTGTGAAGGTCTGAGCACTTTCATTTTTTGAGGCTACTATTATACTAAAAATTTGGAAGAGATACCCAATAATGGTTTTAACATTTTTGCATATTTTAATGGGAATTTTAGAGCTGAAAATATACAATATCTGAAATAAAAAAAAAATTCATTGAATGGACCTAGTAGAAGAACAAAGTTGAGAGCAGAAGGAGTCAGTTAATCTAGATATTGTCTAATCTGAAAAAGAAAAAGAAAGAAACTAACAGAGCCTTAGGAATCTAAGAGACAACATCAAAAGGGATGATATACAGGAAACTAGAATCCCAAAAAAAGAGAATAGGGCAGAAAAGTATATGAGGAAATGATAGCAACAAAACTTTCCACACTTGATGAAATATATAATGTATATATTCAAGAAGCTTAGCAAATCCCAATCAGGATAAATACAAAGAAAACCACATCCAGTCATATTACAGTTAAATTTTTTGTGACATGGCTTCCAATGACCCCAACCTTCTGATGTTCATGTCCTTGTATAATCTCTTCTCCTTTTGTTCAGGCTAACTTTTGTGACTTGTTTTTGATGAATAGAAGACAAAAAAGTTATGGGATGTACTTCTATGATTAGGTTACCAAACTCACTTTTCTCTTGGTAGTGAGCTCATTCTCTCTCTCTCTCTCTCTCTCTCTCTCTCTCTTCCTTTCTCTCTCTCTCTCTAAAAAATCAATTTTTGAACTTCCTCCCTCCTACATTCTGATTTTTAATTCACAGAAACCATCACTGGTTGGATTCCCAGTCAGGGCACATGCCCAGATTGCGATTTTAGTCTCCAGGTGGGGTGGGTTCAGGAGGCAACTGATTGATGTTTCTCTCTCATGTAGATGTTTCTCAATCTCTCTCTCCTGTTCCCTTTCTCTTTCTCTAAAATCAACAAAAGCATATTTTTTTAAAAAAAGATAAACTGGGAGGTTTCATACCCACCAGAAGTGCACTACAAGAAATGCTAAAGAAAGTTACTCAGACTGAAAGGAAATGACACCAAAGGGAAGCTTCAGACCTTCGGGAATAAATCAGGACCTTTAGGAATTGTAAATACCTAATACCTATTAGATAAGGTGATGTGGAGAACAAACGTGAATATTTACTATTAGACTTACCATTTAAATTTACTATAAACTTTACGAATTAAATATACCCACTAAGAACTTCATGCCTCTCAGCCGCCAAGACATAAAAAAAACCAAACACCCTCCGGCAGGCTGGCAGAGCCTCAGAGACTGCACTGAGCAGTCAGGCTACACATCTTTGAGAATCAGGATGGGAAGAGGTGACCTTTGAATACCTGGGGGAGGCAAGCGCTCCCATTTATGGGCCCATAAAATGTCTCCCTCTACAGCTGGTTGTAAAAACAGCCACCACTGGAAATGCCCACCGAGGAGGGTAGCCCCAGCGGAGAGCCAGGTTTCAGTGAAGGCAAAACTTGGAAGTGAGTTCCCAGTGAGCTGAGACAATGAGAGAGTTTGTTTACTCTGTGGACTAGCAGTTCCGGAAGATGCAGGGAAATGCTGTGTGGAGAGGTGGGAAGTAAAGTTTAAGGTCAGGTCAAGGACAAGAAAGTTTAGCACTGATGGATGAAGACAGGGATGAACGGCAGGGTGAATTTGATCCTGGCAGGCATCTGGCTCACCCTTGGGAGAGGCATCTCCAGGCCACTCTATAGCACCCCAGACTTTGGGCTCACAGCGTGAGCTCCTGTCACTTCCAGCAACACCCATATCTGTTTACCTACTCACTCTATGTTCATCTCAATGACCCTAGTCTGCGCTCTTCAGAAAAATATATTTTGGACATATAACCGACAGCTTTTTGTATTCTAGGCTGCTTGTCCCTAAAAATTAGCCATGCATTCCTCATGGTGCTTAAATACCCATGTAAGAAGAATTCCTCTGCAGGATAATTGGCAAAGAGGTCGCTCAAGGTGGTAGACTATAGATAATTTGTGTCTAAATGTGGTAGGGCTCCTTTATAGAATTTCCTTTG